TTGATGAATTGGGTTTTATTCAAAGATGGGTTTTAGATTTGGTTTTGTTGTAGAAATTGCATGTGGGTTTTAGGTGTTCTGTTGATGAGTATTATTGTTTGCTGGTCGAATACAATCTTGTATCTGCTACTGGAAGATCTGATCTGATTTGTGCTTCTTGACATTTGTTTATGGTGTTTCTTTTCAAATGTTTGTGTTATATATTATTAGGCTTCATTATCTGGTTTGTGGATTTTATCAGTTCCATGTGACTCGTTCCCTTGAAGCAAAATTAGTAGGTGTTGCTTTTCATAATTGTTACTTTGGTTTTGAATTTGTGATTTTTTGAGCTGTTAATGGAGTCGAACCAAACCAAACCCGGCCTACTGTGCAACCCTGAAGCCTCTCAGAGAACCCTGTATTCTATTCTCACACTTCTGGCTTTTCTCATTTTTAATGTTAAATGTATGATGCGTATTTTTGGTATGTGTAGACCTAAAGATCGAATGGAATGATACATAGACAAGTAAATCCCTTAGTAATTTTAAAGGACTCCTTTACTTTAATGTAAGAGGATTCACCATTCGAAGGGAAGTAGACTACTCAAGAATTTCACATTTCGTTTATTTTATGTCAAAATTGAATAAAGAATTCAGAAAATCTAATACTAATAAAATAAAAAGAAGAAGGAATCATGAAATGTTGCTTGATCTTCTTTGGGAACTCAAGTAAGGAGTAGTTGGGGTTTTATAGAATTTTAAAGTGGGAACCCCTCTCTTTATCTTTATTTGGTGTAACTACTTGAGCCGGATGAGAGGAAACTTTCACGTCCGGTTTTGGAAGGGAGAGATCCTATAGGATCCTATCCAAATTTTTCTTTTGCTAGGCCCGTGGCTAAAAAACCTACTTTCTTACGATTACGAGGTTCATTCGAATATGAAATCCAATCATGGGGTTTTGGGGATTTTGCTTTTTATATGACATTTCAATCCTTTAATTCTTTTTTTTTTAAAAATATATTTTTTGCAGGTACCCATATGTAACATCTGTGGTGGCTTTGAAGTACAAAGATGGAATTTTGATGGCTGCTGATATGGGAGATTAGCTGCCAATCCAATTTAGATTGTGTTTCAAATTTTAATTATATTTTGACATAAAGGTTAAAGTCCATCACTTTATGAACAATGCTCATCATCTCTCTTTTGGAGTTTCAATACTGTTTATGTTGCCAAATTTAGACACCCATGTATGTTCCTTTTCATGTTTTTGTTTAGGTTTGTAACAGTATGAAATGATGCATTTACTAATAGGTTCTTATGGGTCTACCCTGCGATACAAGAGTGTGGAACGAATGAAGCCTATTGGAAAGCATTCTCTTCTTGGTGCAAGTGGAGAAATAAGTGACTTTCAAGAGCTATTACGTTATCTTGATGAGCTCATGTAAGCATTGTTCTCAAGAAAAATTATGTACAAGATACCTTCTCTAATGCTTTCATTGTGATTTTTGCTATGCTTCTTGGTATCATTTGCAACTGGAGTTAAAAAGATTATTCATTTTGAGTTTTATGGTTGTAGCCTATATGACAACATGTGGGATGATGGCAACTCTTTGGGACCTAAAGAGGTCCACAACTATTTGACCCGTGTGATGTACAATAGGCGGAACAAGTTCAATCCACTGTGGAACTCTCTTATCCTTGGTGGAGTGAAAAAAGGACAGAAGTACCTTGGCATGGTAGGCCTCATATAATCCTTCCCTTAACGCGTTGTAGCATGCTGTGTGCAATTAGGAAAGCTGATTATTTATTTATTTATTTATTCAAGAATAAAGTTTCTGAATGAGCTGACTTAGTTACTTGTCATATTCTTTTATCCCTATCCAGGTTACATGATAGGTGTAAATTTTGAGGACAATCATGTAGCTATAGGATTTGGAAATCACCTTGCACGGCCTATTCTTCATGATGAATGGCATGAGAACTTGACTTTTGAAGAGGGCGTAAAGCTACTGGAGAAATGCATGCGTGTCCTTCTCTATCGAGATTGGTCTGCTGTCAACAAGCTTCAGGTATAGTACTTATTTAATGTTATTTACTCTATCTTTTGTCATCCTATAATATAATAATAACAGTGGTATAAGCTATCCATTCCATAATATTAAGGCCTTCTTATCTATCTTTTTATTTTTTTATGACCTGCCGTATAATTCACCTATCAAATATGAAACCTGGTAAACCTTTTTAAGTGTTTTGTTTTTCTACCCAACAAATTTTCTAACATCTGTTCTGTATATATTTTATGCAAATTAGAAATCACATTGTACAATGAGTTGCTTGGTAGAATTTACTCATCGTTTCTATTTTTCATTCTTATAAAAGGAAGGATTTAGGTGATGATGGGTCATTTAAGAGGGAAATTGTTTTTGATCTTTGGGTGTGCTTAATGCTAGATATTGTGTGGTTATGAACATCACATGATTTTAAACACCACCTTCGTCTCTGAAGAGGTGCTGAAGGTTTGTGGCATATGTTTGTGGATTTAGTTTGGTGTGAAACAATTTCCTTTGTTTTGCCTCTTCTGCTAGTAAAGTGAAAACACTTATTTATAGAAAGTTCCGTCAGTAAAGTGATGTTGCATATTTGCACACATCAGATAACTGCAATGAGATATTACTATTTTTTTAAAAGTGAAACTAATAGTTTGGAATTGGCATAGTAGTTGCAAGGCCAAAAAGGAAAATCCAACAATCGGAGTTTAAGGATAATTTTGTGCATTGTTCCGATTATTCATATGTAGGAAGGTCGGGTTCGCGTCGTCGCACGATTTCGAAGTCGCTTGAGTTTCGATCCGTTGGGATTGGGTGCTGTCGATTGTGGCCGGTCGTCTTCGTCTATGAGGAGTTACGAGTAGGGGTGTAAGTTGGATTGGAAAATCCGATTCTGACCGATTCTGATCCGAATATTTCCAAAAAAAATCCGACTCCGATAAATCCGATATCTGAAAATGCCGAATCCGATATTTCTGATAAATGCCGAAAATTCCAGAATTCCAATCCAAAAAAATTCCGAAGTTTACCGAACCCATTCCGATCCGATTTTTCCAAAGTTTTCCAGAAAATTCCAAATTTCTTATTATAATTGCATTATTTTTAGTGTATAGGTCTTATATATGTTTCATTTCGTAGGTCACATACAAATATTCATTTATACTAAAATAGGCTTTGCCAAAAAAATATATTAAACATAATAGTTTATAACTTTAAGAGTATATATTTTTGGCAAATGTGCTTATTTGAATATAACAAAAATGCATATGTGTGCTTATTATTTCAAAACGTACTACATATGTGGTAAATGTAGGGTATACTATTCCATTTTGTATTTTATGTATGTATGTATTTTAAAATTTTAAACTATCTTCATTTAAAACTTTTAGTTACATGAAACACCAGATATAATATAAATATATTCATTGGAGCTTGACAATTATAGTATTCCAGTTGTATAGAGCAAGACTAACATATTAAGATATCGAATGAACGAATAGTATTAGTTCCCTTTGTAAACTTTTAATCCATTATGTTATTTTTAAAATTTCCATCATGTACACAACTCAACCTCCCATTCATATTTCCACCACTTTAGATACGTGTTATATGTACACCCTCTTATAAGGCTTCATTTGGATGAAGAGATTCTAAATCCATGTATGCCAAAATTTGCACAATAATGAAAATAAAATAAAATAAAAGAATTCAAAAGTCCAACTTAAGCTTCCTTGCACACATTCTCTCTTTTATACATATGATATATTAAAATTAAAAAATTAAAGAGCTAAATAAATAAAATTAAAAGTAAAAAAAACAAAACACTCCATCTCCCACTTATCTATCCCTCTTTCTTTTCTTTATTTAATTTCTAAATTTCCCCCTTACCCTCATTTCATTTGTTTATTTTCCCCCTCTCTCTTTCAATACTCACGTTCTTGATCCTAAGTAACACATCTTTAATTTTTTTTTTTTTTCCATTTGTAGTCGCCACACCCTTTTGTTTTTTTTTTTCTTGCTTGGGTTCGATTGGTTGGTCGAGTGATTGGGTTTAATTGTGTTCTGTTTGACAGTGATGCTTGTGCTCTGTCTTTGGCGATGTTGAATTCATATGGTGTGAAAGTGCTGACTTATTAGGTGGAGGGATGGTGGATGGAGGCTGTGGTGGGTTTGACTGTGGTGGAGGCTATGGCGTTGGCGTCAGAGTGGGTATCACAGAAGAAGGCAAAAAGAGAAAGGAAGAAGCAGTGGGGTGTTCGATTTTTGGGTCTGGGATTAGAGAAAGAAAGAGAAAGTATGATTATGTTCTGAAGAAAACTTCTGAATGGGAAAGTTCCGAATTTTTCCGGGATTTTTCGGAATCGGAATTGGAAGTGTTTATTGAATTCCGAAGGGTTTTGGACGGAAAAAGATCCAACAGCCTATGATCCAACAGCCCTAAACAGCACTTGCTCCTCTACATCACTCTTCAGACTCAAGTCGGCTGCGAGAGAGATCCCTCTCTGTATTCTTGAAGTTCGTATCTCTATCCTCCTGCTCTTGCTTTAAGCTTTTGTACCTGTTTAAATGTTTGTGGCTTTAAAGTTTTGTAGAAATCTTCACGTTTGGTTTTGTTATTTGTTTGATTTAAGTTAATTGATGGACTGGGTTTTGTTCAAAGATGGGTTTTAGATCTGGGGTTCTTGTAGAAATTGCATGTGGGTTTTAGGTGTTCTTTTTTTCTAACGATGTTTGATAATCGATGAAATGGGTTCTCAAATTTACATGCTATTCTTTTCAAATTTTTATGAAAGATAATCTGATGAGGACATCTTTGTCAAACCCATTAGGGTTTACAAACGAAAGAGATGGAAGAGGGAATTATTAATTAGTTTCCTAATTTATTTGTTCGTTCCTAGGTTCTCTAAGTTTTCCAGATTTCATTAGGATTTTTAGTTTTTCCAGAATTCAGTAGGATTTCTAAGTTTCCTATTTTATTTGGATTAGGATTTCTTTCCTAGAATAAGTTTAATTTTTCTTTTCACTCTAGGGTTAGATTATTATAAATACTCAGTCTATGTAATTCATTATGGAGTTGAGATTTGAGATATTAAGAAAAAGTTTACTTTCCAGAGATTGGAGACTCCTTGGTGTGAAGCCAAGGCGTCTTTTACCACCTATTTTCTGTTTTTCCATTGTTTTCACTTCCGCTAAATTACCCAAATACTCAATTCACCCATATCCTACATCATAATCTGTTCGTTTGATTTGTATTATTGTTTGGTGGTCGAGTACAATATTGTATCTGCTACATGAAGCTGGTTGGTGCTTGACATTTGTTTATGGTGTTTTTTCTCAACTGTTTATGTTATTAGGCTTCATTATCTGGTTTGTGGATTTTATCAGTTCCATGTGATTCGTTCCCTTCAAGCGAAATTAATAAGTGTTGCTTTCCATAATTGTTACCTCAACATTTAGAGAACAAAAACGAGTGTGAGTTTCCACGCTCTATCTGATTTCCACAACCCAGATTTTTGTTTCATTACTTTGATTTTGAATTTGTGATTTTTTGAGCAGTTAATGGAGTCGAAACAAGCCAAACCCGGCCTACTGTGCAACCCTGAAGCCTCTCAGAGAACCCCTGTATTCTATTCTCACACTTTCTCGCTTTTCTCATTTTTATTGTTAAATTTATGATGCGTATTTTTGGTATGTGTAGACCTTATGGTATTTAGGGTTTTGGGGATTTTGCTTTCTATATGGCATTTCTATCCTTTAATTCTTTTTTTAAAATATAATTTTTTGAAGGTACCCATATGTAACTGGTACATCTGTGGTGGCTCTGAAGTACAAAGATGGAATTTTGATGGCTGCTGATATGGGAGGTTAGATGCCAATCCAATTTAGATTGTGTTTCAAATTTTAATTATATTTTGACATAAAGGTTAAAGTCCATCGCTTTATGAACAATGCTGATCATCTCTTCTTTTGGAGTTTCAATGCTGTTTACGTTGCAAAAGTTAAGACACCCATGTATGTTCCTTTTCATGTTTCTGTTTAGGTTTGTAACAATATGAAATGATGCATTTACTAATAGGTTCTTATGGGTCTACCCTGCGATACAAGAGTGTGGAACGAATGAAGCCTATTGGAAAGCATTCTCTTCTTGGTGCAAGTGGAGAAATAAGTGACTTTCAAGAGCTATTATGTTATCTTGATGAGCTCAGGTAAGCATTGTTCTCAAGAAAAATTATGTACAAGATACCTTCTCTAATGCTTTCATTGTGATTTTTGCTATGCTTCTTGGTATCATTTGCAACTGGAGTTAAAAAGATTATTCATTTTGAGTTTTATGGTTGTAGCCTATATGACAACATGTGGGATGATGGCAACTCTTTGGGACCTAAAGAGGTCCACAACTATTTGACCCGTGTGATGTACAATAGGCGTAACAAGTTCAATCCACTGTGGAATTCTCTTGTCCTTGGTGGAGTGAAAAAAGGACAGAAGTACCTTGGCATGGTAGGCCTCATATAATCCTTCCCTTAACGCGTTGTAGCATGCTGTGTGCAATTAGGAAAGCTGATTATTTATTTATTTATTTATTCAAGAATAAAGTTTCTGAATGAGCTGACTTAGTTACTTGTCATATTCTTTTATCCCTACCCAGGCTAGCATGATTGGTGTAAATTTTGAGGACAATCATGTAGCTACAGGATTTGGAAATCACCTTGCACGGCCTATTCTTCGTGATGAATGGCATGAGAACTTGACTTTTGAAGAGGGTGTAAAGCTACTGGAGAAATGCATGCGTGTCCTTCTGTATCGTGATCGCTCTGCTGTCAACAAGCTTCAGGTATAGTAATTAATTAATCTTATTTACTCTATTTTCTGTCATCCTATAATAATAACAGTGCTATAAGCTATCGATTCCATAATATTAAGGCTTGTAAGAAATGATGATTTGACTAGCAATGACTGAGGGCCTTCTTATCTATCCGTCTTTTTATTTTTTTTGATCTGCCATATAATTCACCTATCTGTTATCTTTAATCGTCTTCAACATTTATAAACCTTTTTAAATATGAAACCTGGTAAATCTTTTTAAATATATTTGAAGTGTTTTGTTTTTCTATGTTTGCTGTCTCTCTCTCTCTCCCTCTCTCTCTCTCTCTCTCTCTCTCTCTCTCATACACATGTTCAAGTAGGTTTACTAAACTTTTGTCACTCTTGATCTTACTAGTTTGTCATGTAAGAAACTCTCATGAGCCTGATAAGTATTGTAATTCCCTTTCACCGGTGAAGTGCTACTTATTTACTGGACTATTAATTGGGCTTTAGCTCCGGAAAGTGTTCAAAGTGGAGACAGAGGAAAGGGAAGGAAAAGCTAATGAACATAATTGCATGGTTTTGATTTCAATTTTCTGTCGGAATATTTTTCTATTTCTACCCAACAAGTTTTCTAACATCTGTTCTGTATATATTTTATGCAAATCAGAAATCACATTGTACAATGAGTTGCTTGGTAGAATTTACTCATCGTTTCTATTGGTCATACTTATAAAAGGAAGGATTTAGGTGATGATGGGTCATTTAAGAGGGAAATTGTTTTCGATCTTTGGATGTGCTTAATGCTAGATATTGTGTGGTTATGAACATCACATGATTTTAAACACCACCTTCGTCTCTGAAGAGGTGCTGAAGGTTTGTGGCATATGTTTGTGGATTTAGTTTGGTGTGAAACAATTTCCTCCGTTTTGCCTCCTTTGCTAGTAAAGTGAAAACACTTATTTCTAGAAAGTTCTATTAGTAAAGTGATATTGCACATTTGCACACATCAGATAACTGCAATGAGATATTATTTTTGTTTTTAAAAGTGAAACTAATAGTTTGGAATTGGCATAGTAGTTGCAAGGCCAAAAAGGAAAATCCAACAATCAGTGTTTAAGGATCTTGATAATTATTTGTGCATTGTAAGGGTGGAGTGTATTGTTTTGCTTGAACATGGATTGACACTTCCTTGTAAGATGACACACTTTAAACTTTGAAATTGCAGATTTCCAAAATCACTGAAGAAGGTGTAACCATCTCTCAGCCCTACTCTTTGAAGACTTTCTGGGGTTTCTCTGCTTTCGAAAATCCAACATTGGGTGCTGAAGGATCATGGTAGTTGAATAGAGGCATGGCTTCTGAACATGAAACTGCCAACTAGGAGCTAAGTTGAACTTTAATGTGTTTCTACAGTTATTGGAACCAAGAATTTGTAACAATGTTGACTCGAATATAGCTGGTTGGCTTTTGAGAAACGTTTTAGCTATAATACCCATCGTTTAATTAAATTTGGTGTTGCAGCATCCAACGAGTATGAACTTATTGTAGTGACACTTAAAGCAATGTCTATTTTCCTTTGAATCATTTGGCCGGTATGTGGTTTGAAGATCATATAATCGGTTGCGGAATGCATACATGCATACATTTATATATATATATATATATATATATGCAATAATAGGAATAGGAATTCTATCTGGCATCTGATTTTCTTTGTTTTCATACAAAATAGAGTGGTCTTTTTCTAGAATTTTTGGGATACTGGGGACAGTAGGAGGATATCATGGATTGTTGTTAAGCAGGAGAAATGAGTTCTTGTTTGTTCTACACGGTTATTGAAGCTCCACAGTGCTTCTTTGTGGCAGGAGTGTGTTTTTTTAAGTTGAGCTAGGAGGGGATGGTTTTAATCAGTCTTAGTCTGACAATTGGAAAGTTTCTTTAGATTATAAAATATTTTTGGAGCCGTCAGATGTGAAATGTATGACCTAAATTCTTTGTGACGAGACAATTATATTTGTGCTCTCCGGATGGAAGGCAAAACTGTCAGAAGCTTGAAACACTTGACCAAAATTGTTCACGTCCTGGGTTATTGTCGAAGAAAATTAGCGTTTTACAAGAACAGATTATTGCTTCAACATCTTAACGCAAACAGTATCATTTTGATGGATAATGTCTACTTATAAAACAGTGTCTCGATTGAACATATATTGAAAGTTTATAGCGTGGTAATGGAACATTGTCACGTGGTATGACCAATCTATGTGCTATAATTAAGTGGGCGACAAAAGTTTTACTTTAGGGTATAGTATTTACTTTAGGGTATAGTATTATAACTGATTTATGTGTTAAATATGGATGAATCTTGGCTAAGCGTACATAGAAGCAAAAACAGAACATTACCTGGATCTAGCTTTCTGGTATGCCCGACTCATTTGAATCTTAAACCAACAAATTAACAATCAAAATGAATTTTAGGTAAAAACACTTCATTTCCAAGAGAGTACATGTAATTTTTACAATAATTTGGATGAGTTATCAACTATCAAGGAATATTTTATATGAGATGAAATTCTTTATTGTTGTGGAAACAAAAAACAAACAAACAAAATAAAATAGAAACATCGGTAACCAAGTTTTATGCAGCTAGTTGTTTAGATGCTTGTAAGCTTGGAAGTGTGGGCTCCTTCTTATGCTTTTCTTGGGGGAAAATATCAAGCCATGAAAGTCTAAGCTTGGCACAGAAGAAACCGAGAGAACTTGCACCAGAGACATATATGAGCTGAAAATGCAGGCATTTTGCACCTGCAAAACAAAGAGTAAACAGCAAACTGTAAGGATGAGAACAAAATGAAAAATACTACTCTTCCGAAGTGTACTAAGTTTGCTGTGCTCTTAGTATTTTGCTAAGACAAAGAAAATTGAACCCCATTTTCATCAAAACTAAAACTTTTGGTTGCCATTGTTTGCCGCGGTAGTGGTTTTCATGCATATGCAAGGTTTCCTATGCAGAAGAGATGGCGCTGGCGTCCCAGTGCCCCCCAACAGGGTCATGACCAACGACGGCGCCATCTCTCCTGCGTAGCGAACCTCTCAATGCTTTACTCTCCTTCCATCTATGATTTGATTTTGCTCTACGAAAGAGGTATTTTGTAGTAACCCATCATGGCTTTGAATATTCTGTGTGTGCTTATCCAGACTGTCTCCGGCCATATATATATATTTCCACGAAGTAAAGACTCAGCCACAAGCATATATCAGCCCCAATAAACCAGTACACAAAATTTACATGTTACATATATTTTCATGGAACTAATAATTATAAGAAAATAAAATTCCATTTAATTATGAGGTCATTTGCGGAACGTCAGCCGTACCATATATAAGACAGGAGCTAAAAGGAGACCTATGCTAGCTAGTGTCGGGGGTATCTTGTCAGCTCGGCAAACCCACTAAGTTATAATCAAATCATTCAGCTTAAAGACAGAGCAACCTGAACCACAAACACAAAAAGCAGCAATTGATGCATGGAGTTAAAAACTCTCTCTCAATCACTTCACGAGAGAAATGCTAAGCTGGTCATCAAGTAGACTGATAAAAATTTACAAGGCATCAACAGTTATGTAATTGGAAGCATCAGGCTCACCAAATTCCTGTTCATTTAGGTAGTGTCACTTGATTGTTATAAATATGGGAGAATATCTGAAAGTGAAGGATGCTATGCGAGCATCGACATGTCTTCTAATGATCTGAATCGTCCTCGTTGTTTAGTCAGTTGATTACCAACAAAATAATTTTCTTTTAATACATGTTGTATTATCGATTTAGTTAATATTTCACAAGGAAAACCTTAAGAAGCGACCTAAAAAATAGGCGACTACGAGCATTGAGTTGCACTATTGAGTGGACACATTATGTAGAATCCAGTTCAATGGTTTAAGAAGGAAAAGGGCACAATCATGTCTCAGCCTCTCATGTACTCACTCTTCAAGGGTGCCCTTTATTCAATGAATGGCATATGCAGGTCTCATTCGTTCATTGAATTCTCCTCAGGATCCATCCATATTGTTATATACTTTTTTTGGTTATATTGGGAGGAAAGACGAACCCCACCACCACTGTGGTGGACCCATTGGCATATTGTTATATACTTCATTTTAGGTGAAAGTGTGACTTTGCTACCGATTGTGTACGGTTCCCTCCTCTTGGTAACTGAACAGGAAGGGCAAGCCCCACCACACCCAAAATAGAGAGAGAAGGGGCTAGGGATAATGTTGGGTTTGACCCAAAAAAGAGGAATATAGTTTGTTGAGGACTTTTCTAAACATTCGAACTCAATGATTGAAATTAAAGGTAAATGAGCACCTTTCCTCATGACTTCATGCGAAGAGGTAAACCTATATACTTGCAACCACACCTCATTTTGCAAATCAACAACGAAGTCGGAACGAACAAGATTGAAGATCTTAAATTTGTACAATCAAAGATTGGAATCGTACTAGACAATCATTAGACCCAAAAACTTACTTTGTGAACTTGTAGAATGTTGTAGCTGCTTGGCTTTTTTTGTTGTTGCTGACTTTTCATTGCAGATCACTCATCAACTTGTTTCATTTATGATGATGCAGACCCATGAGAAGCTTTCGACCTCGCAGGTTTAAATATCTCATTATACATGCAATAAATAATAGAGCATCCGTGACCACTCTTTGGCCATTCTTCTGGTGCTAGCCTCCCTTACTGGTTGGCCACAAAAATATGTATGGCAGCAGTGGCGAAGCCAGGATTTCATGTGTGTGGGGGCCTCTTACAAATTATAAAAAATCAAAAATTCGAACTCATAATACATACAAAAAATAGTGTATATATCACATATATCAAGAATTATATTGCTTATTGGTTGTAATCATAATTGTTCTCGACAAAGGGATAGACAAATATATTCAAAGCAAGAAAAGTTGCAAGAGATAGACAAAGAGTAGCGATTTAACAATATCTTTAAAGCTTTTTTCCCCATTAAACCCAATAGAAAAGAAAAAAAAATCAAAATTTCCCAAATTAAAAACAACCTTAGGCCCCTTTATGCATTCATATCATACATGAAAACATATTGACTAAGTATGAAAAATGGTTTTTCGGAATAATCATTTTCTCAAGATAATTTTTGGCGGCTTTTATTCCTTACACATGAAATAAGAAAACTTGATTTTATGGGACTTTAGTATGAAGTATATATTGACTTAATGAGCCATCATTTTTAGCCTAAATCGTATTTTACACTAAAACCGATTTTTCATATTTTGATTTGGTGGGAATTTTATTTTCTAGTATTTTTATTTGAATCCAAATAGGGGACACTTCCTTATTTACATTGTAAACATAAGTAAATTGAGTAATATAAAAATAAATTAAAGTCAAAATGGAAATAAGGTAATCTGTACACCTGGAGTGCATCACCCCTAGCTGAGCAAGGGCGCAATTTGAACTACCTCCTTGTGCCTTAATAAGTCTGCCATAATACATATGGGTACATATCAAAACGTAAAGTCTTTGAAATAATATACATATACAAATACATAACAGTATATTACTTTTAAAATATAAAAAAACTTGAGTGGGGGCTCGAGACCACACTGGTCCCAGTGTGGTTCCGCCCCTGCGGCAGAAGACATTCCACTACTATAATTTGTACACACAAAACATATACATATTTATCAATGTGTATCTACACTACACCTGGCTGTATCTATCATGATCATGCTGCTACTCCTAATATGTATAATTCTTTATCAATGAGACAGATTTTAAATCTGAAAATCCTTTCAACGTTGATAAGAAAAATATCACTAAATTAAGAATAATGAAATTATGAAATAGAATTATTATAAACTTTCATACGAGAAATGAGATCGTTGCTATTTCTTTGTACTCGTATCCCTCGTATTTATGTTTGGAAATCAAGAAATTAGTACAAACTGAAACCCCTTTGAATCTAATTCCAGTTTAAACCAATACAACCAGCTAGGCTTCAATTTGATTCACAAATTTGTATACATCCGCTTTAGAAGTTTTTGAGAAAGAAGCTGACAAAGCTAATAAGAGTACTAGTCGAAAAGGGAAGAAATTTTGAATATAAGCGATAATCAAAGGAGAATAAATTTTAATTAATGTACTAGCCTTTTCGGCTAACGGTCTCTATGCCTGATCTATGAATGCAATATATCGCTGATTTAAAAAAAAAAATAGAACAAGAAAAAAAAAATTTCATTTTAGCATTTCCAAAATAGGAGTTTTCATTCTCATCCTCCAGGGACCAAGATTCATTCCGCAAACGAAACGAGGCCCTTAAGACTCCATTTGGTTCACGGAACGAATTTGAGAGAAAATCACTTCCCATGTCATTTCCCATTGGGACATGGAGATTCTTTTCTCATGTTTGGTAATCCTGCGAAAGTAATCGAGAAATATCACTTTATTTCCTTTCACATGTTTGGTTTGTGTAGGAATGTAAAAAAAGTTTGTTTAA